GGTGGGGAGATTTTGAAGCTTGTGAAATCCACATCGAGACCATTGGGCTGCAGGGTTCCCAAGCGGAATATGAGGTGCGGTTCCTCCAGCCTTCGGGTGGCATCGTTGTAGCACTGGAGGAGGCCCAGGATGGACATGTCATCCAAGGAGTGGGGGGGGAGCTGAAGTGGTTCGCGACTGGGAGGTGTTGTTGTTTGTCACGAACCAAGCGTAGGTGCTCCACAAAACGGTATCCAAGCCTCCACTTGGTTTCCCCGATGTAGAGGAGGCCACATCGGGAACAGCGGATACAGTATACCACATTAGCGGATGTGCAGGTGAACATCTGTTTAATGTGGAAGGTTTTCTAGGGACCTGGTGCGGAGGTGAAGGGGGAGGTGTAGGGGCAGGTGGAGTACTTCCTGCGGTTGCAGGGAAAAGTGCCAGGGGTGGTGGGGCTGATGGGGAGTGTGGAGCGGACGAGGGAATCACGGAGAGAGCGGTCCCTCCGGAAGACAGATAAGGGTGGGGAGGGAAACATATCCTTGGTAATGGGGTCAGATTGCAGGTGGCGGAAGTGGTGGAGAATGATGCATTGAATTCGGAGGTTAATGGGGTGATACGTGAGGACAAGGGGAATTCTGTCTTTGTTGTTATTGCCAGGAGGGGATGTGAGGGCTGAGGTGCGAGAAACGTGAGAGATGCGGTCGAAGGCGTTTTCAACCACTGTGGAGGGTAATTTGCGGTCCTTGAAAAATGAGGACATCTGGGATGTCCGGGAGTGGAATGCCTCATCTTGAGAGCAGATGTGGTAGAGGCGAAGGAATTGGGAATAGAAGGTGGCATTGTTGCAGGAAGGTGGGTGAGAGGAGGTGTATTCTAGGTAGCTGTGGGAGTCGGTAGGCTTGAAATAGATATCCGTTTCCAGGTGGTTGCCAGAGATGGAGACAGAGGGGTCCAGGAAGGAGAGAGAGGTGTCAGAGATGGTCCAGGTGAACTTAAGGTTGGGGTGGAAGGTGTTAGTAAAGTGGATGAACTGTTCGAGCTCCTAGTGGGAGCACGAGGCGGCGCTGATACAGTCATCAACATAACGGAGGAAGAGGTGGGGGATGGGGCCAGTGTATCTGCAGAAGAGGGACTGTTCCACGTATCCTACAAAGAGGCAGGCATAGCTTGGGCCCATGTGGGTACCCATGGCCAACCCCTTTGTCTGTAGGAAGTGGGAGGAGTTGAAGGAGAAGTTGTTAAGGGTAAGGACGAGTTTGGTTAGGCAGATAAGGGTGTCAGTTGAGGTGGGCTGGTCGGGCCTACTGGAGAGGAAGAAGTGGAGGGCCTTTAGGCCATCTGTATGGGGAATGCAAGTATATAGGGACTGGACATCCATGGTGAAGATGAGGTGTTGAGGACCAGGGAATCGGATGTTTTGGAGGAGGTGGAGGGCGTGGGTGGTGTCACGGAAGTAGGTGAGGAGTTCCTGGACCGGGGGGAGAAAATGGAGTCAAGGTAAGCGGAGATGAGTTCGGTGGGGCAGGAGCAGGCAGAGACAATGGGTCGGCTGGGGCAGTCAGGTTCGTGGATTTTGGGAAGGAGACAAAAACGGGTGGTGCAGGGTTGAGGAACAATGATATTTCCCTCCCATCCCTATCTGTTGCTCACTCCGTGAATCTCTGAACCGCTCCACATCTTCCACTAACTCTACCACACACGACACCTTTCCCTGCAACCGCAGGAAGTGCTATACCTGCCCCCACATTTCCTCCCTCACCTCCATTCAAGGCCCAAAGCAAACTTTCCATATCTGACAGGGAGTCACCTGTACATTCTCCAACCTGAGACAACAAGGTGCAGGGCTGGATGAACACAGCAGGCCAAGCAGCATCATAGGAGCAGAGAGGCTGACGTTTCGGGCCTAGACCCTTCATCAGAAAAGGGGGAGGGGAAGGGGGTCCCGAAATAAATAGGGAGAGAGTGGGAGGCGGATAGAAGAGGGATAGAGGAGAGGATAGGTGGAGAGGAAACAAACAGGTCGAAGAGGCGGGGATGGAGCCAGGAAAGGTGAGTGTAGGTAGGGAGTTAGGAAGGGGATAGGTCAGTCCAGGGAGGACGGACAGGTCAAGGGGGTGGGATGAGGTTGGTCGGTAGGAGATGGAGGTGCGGCTTGAGGTGGGAGGAGGGGATAGGTGGGAGGAAGAACAGGTTAGGGAGGCAGGGACGAGCTGGACTGGTTTTGGGATGCAGTAGGGAGAGGGGAGATTTTGAAACTTGTGAAATCCACATTGATACCATTGGGCTGCAGGGTTCCCAAGCGGAATATGAGTTGCTGTTCCTGCAACCTTCGGGTGGCATCGTTGTGGCACTGCAGGAGGCCCGGGATGGACATGTCGTCTGAGGAATGGGAGGGGGAGTTGAAATGGTTCGCGACTGGGAGGTGCAGTTGTTTATTGCGAACCGAGCGTAGGTGTTCTGCAAAGCGGTCCCCGAGCCTCCGCTTGGTTTCCCCGATGTAGAGGTAGCCACACCGGGTACAGCAGATGCAGTATACCACATTGGCAGATGTGCAGGTGAACATCTGCTTGATGTGGAAAGTCTTCTTGGGGCCTGGGATGGGGGTGAGGGAGGAGGGCCTGGGATGGGGGTGAGGGAGTAGGGTTTCACCTGCACATCTGCCAATGTGGTATACTGCATCCGCTGTACCCAGTGTGGCTTCCTCTACATCGGGGAAACCAAGCGGAGGCTCGGG